TTATGTATATTTAAAAAGAAATTACTATGAAATTTGGACTTTATTTTATACGAATTGTTCCAGAACAAAGAATCTTGTCATCAAATTTCGGCAAAATCTGACAGAAACTTTATCGGAAGTTATAGTGATCTGGTTCAGGAACACAATCGAAAACTTTTTGTGGCAGAAATGGTTATAGAAAATAGATCTTCTTCAGCTTGTAACAATTAACCAATCTGTACTCCTACTAGGTATTTACAGCTTACAAGAGAAATCGATCTCTCTAATCTCCCGGCCGACTATGCTCCTTATCCGGTTGAATTTGACTGAAATTATCTAGATTCGACTAAGACCACTAAACTTGTATAACTTTGAAAACAGTAGTGCTAGTCCCACACATTCGGATCAGATTGATTTTTGGAATAATACCAATTTAGAGTCATCCGTATAGATTATTAAAAAATGTGGCTTGATTTAGAAGGGCGAAATCATTTCTACGAAATGGAAATCAAGATCAATAAAAAAAGCTTTCACTAGAACCGAGATTGTTCAAAACTGCTTACTAGGACCTGCGAAATACAGTTTTACGGATGCCTGCCCATTACCACTTGCGACTACATGGACTAAAAGCAGTAAGAGGTGTTCAAACAGTAAATATAGTCTACCTCTCAAACAACGGGAATATAAAGCGATAGTATATTTAATTTCTCATGAACCTCTCTCTTCAGACTCTATTTCTTGTCTTTTAAGCTGACGCACAAGAAGAAAAATTAGTAATAATTACAACAGAAATTAATGCTAAACAAAAATGTCTTGAAATGCTTGCAAATGCCCGTAAACGTAGTGATCTAACACATCGACAATATGAAGAGCGTATAAAACTCCTTTCTGAACGTATACAAAATGCTGAAAATGAAAAACAAGCAGCTGTTACAAAATTAAGTAAGTTTATATTTAATTTATTGATCATTTTAATATTCTTTTTTTTTTTATTCAGATACTACTGCACGTGATCAACATAATACTGAAGAATTAAAACTAGTAAGACGTGATTATAAAGAAAAAATTCGTCGATCAAAAGGTCGAAAATGACAATGTAAGTTTTACATTTTCTATAAAGTCTATGAGGAGTCGGAATGTTGAGCACAGCAACGATAAATACACGGAAAGTTAAGCACAAAAACAGCAAGAGGAGTACAAAACATTCTAAAAGCAATAAATAACCATTCTACTTGAGACATAATTTTCATTTAGTCATGTCATGAGTTAATATTGTTCTCGTGTTGACGAATTAAAAATGTCAGAGAAAAAAAATATTCTAGCTTTGTTTTTCATCTTTCAGTTAGCTTCACAAATCAATCGAATGTCTTCAAAAATCTGTCAATTAAAAGGTGAAATTGCAAGCCTCAAATTGGACCTTGTTTCAATTAAATTATTTAAAAATTGAAAATATGAAAATAAAAAATGAAAATAAAAACCTAAGAATTCAGATAAAAAAAAATTACAAAAACGATTCAAAACTATTCCACAAAATTCGTCAATTAGAAATTGAAAATAATGAATTATCAACATTACGTGCACAGTATGCTGTTTGTTTAAAAGATGGAGAATATTATAAAAATGAGTCAGGTAAACATACCAATGAATTAAAAGATTTACGTAAACTGAGTGTTCAATTAACACGTGAATTACATCAAGAATTTCTTCGACACAAACAAGCTAAAGCAAGAGAGATTGCTACACTTAAAGAAGTAACTTTTATAACGAAAGAAAAATTAAAAAAAACAAACTCTATATCTTTGTTTTATAGACACAATTGCAAAAGGATAATAAAATTCGAACACTGCATGCTAACTAAACAAAAAGAAATGATTATTAAACGTAAACAAGAAGAAGTAAGATAAACAGATCATGAGCAGTTACTTATTTTTTCCAAATATATCAGAAAATGCATATTAACTGTATGTAATCATCTATCGAGATGCTGAGAACCTTTCCAAGAAGAACAATCAGATTGAAAATGATCGAATATGTATCTAGTGTCTGAACCGATTGGTTATAGAAAGTAAACATCAAGAATAAGGTTTTTTTTACAAGCAGCAAAGATTGATTGATGTTCTTTTGCTTGAAATGTAATTGTTCTTGTACTAGATAAGTCTTTTCAGGTGGATTCATCATGTTGAAAAAAAATATGAGAAAGCTTTAACTTGAGTTTTCTATATATGAACTGAAGATCCTAATTATGTTCTTTACAAACATGTATGTATTGGTATTTGTTTCATCTAAACACAAACATGATTGTAGAAAAGAGATTTTCTGAAAAATGTTTTCTCTGGATGATAAAAAACTCTGAATGGTAAAGTATATACTGAGAATGAGCAATGACTTTAAGACAGAAGAAGTAGAATGTAGACCATTGCACAAAACGAGAAACTACCTTGGAACAGAAATTGTAACTGTTTACAAGGACGGTTCTAGAAGAGCTACAGAATATCTAAACGATCTTGAGCCCATAGGAACTCATACTCGAAAAATTTTTCAGTTTTAACTTTTTTTCTTCTACTACTTTTAGATGCTTTCGGAAGTTTCGTTGTGAGAAGTTATTCAGATATGAAAGGCTGCGAGAGTTTAGATTTTGATGACAAAGATGAATAAATCCGATTGACGAAGATGGTCACGGATCTCTCATGATTTCTGATCATAGGGGCGTGTGATCAATTCCATTACCTGGATTCTGACGAAATCATATGGGATACTAATAGATTTTGCTAGATTCTCATTGAATCACACACAGTCCAATTAAGATCCAATTGTCCGATCAATCGTCCTGAAAACATAGAGTCTATTCTATATATACCAGAAAAATCGGTAATGGTTTTGGTAAAATCTTAGGAAAGAAAGTCCGAAAATCTGTTGTTAGATATGTACATGTACACTTATGTCGGAGGCAAACCGAGAAATTTTCGTAGGTCTCATTGACAAGAAAACAATAGTTTTCTCAAAAACAGATGATCACATTCCCTCACTTGAGCTAACTCTAAACATAACACATGTCTCATGATCCACTTCCATCTCCTGCTGATGATCTTCCATAGACTCAAGTCAAACTTTTTCAATGTATATGATAAACCATGAAATATATTATTATGTTTGATGAAGATAAAAGATAGAATTTCAATGCAAAAGAAAACATATAAATAAACTCTTAAATTCTAGGTACATCTATTATGCCGTCAAATGTGTTCAGCTCGAATGTGTAAAACAACCAAAGAGATGAGTGCACATGCTGCTACTATTCAACAAGACGTATGTCAAAAGGGAAATCTTTTCTTTTCTTCTTGTTTCATACAAAAAATATTCTTAGATTACCAATGCAATTTGTCATCGAAAACTTATTGCTGATATCAATCGTGATATGAGTACAGTAATCGATAGTCGTGAAGGTACATGTCGTAAACATAAACGATATTATAAACGATTAAGTAATGCTATTGTTACAAGTACAATTAATACTCATCGCCCGGAAGATGCAACATGTAAGTGCATACACGATTATCTGAATCAATAACAAAATTAGAAAATACCATAGCATATCTTAATTCAGAAATTTCATCATGTCAACAAGTATTAATGGAATATGATGATGATCGAGAACAAGAAAGTAAAATAATACAAAGATTTGATCCACAATTTTAATTGTTAATTGTATTACAGGTATAGATGAACTTCGATATTTATTAACAAAACATATTGAACAAGTTTGTAGAGACTTTACTTTTACATTATAATATATTTTTATTGAACTATGTGTAGGGTTTTGAAGCTGATGAAAAAAATGAATTGATATCTTATGTTGATTTACTTGAAACAATTCTTGCTGAAAAAGAAGATATTAAATTAGCTGCAACACGTCTTTAAAAAGCTATACGACATACTTGTCAAGATGATTCAATGAATACAATACCTATTCTAGAAGAATCACCATCATCAACATCAATTACACTTAGACTGTTATGTAATTTTTCAGATATATCTAGTTATCAAACTGAATCCACATGTGCTGATGAAAATTGTCTATTTATCGTATTTCTTTTGTGCATATGTTCTTATTTGTTACTTTCATTTTTTTTCTGTTTCTTTATTTGTATATGGCTGTTCGGTAGAATAATATAAATATAATTTCATCATATAGGATTATATGTATATAACATTTTTGTTATAGTACGTTAACATGAGATGATTTTAGTGAAACAACAAAAGAATGTTTAATTAAGTTTTTTTTCGTTAACTAATAAAGAATATTTATATGGATATAATTTACAAGATTGATTGTGTAGAATCTTAATTAAATAGCGTTTCAACTGACTATCATAATTGATCCGTTCGGTTTAAAACGTTTTTTTTCATACATATGGCATTTTTCTCAAATAAATCATATCCAGAGTAAGTTTCAATGTCTTTATCAAACAATATTGTTTTAGAAACTACTAGTTGATCTTCTTCTGTTTGTCTATACTTTTTTATTGCTTTAATCAAATTGTATTAGTAAAGATTAACTTCTCAAATTAGCTATCATGGTTTTAAAAGAAACATTTGGTTTTTTCGTAAAAGTTTGGTGAAAAAAATTCCAGAATCGTCGTTTATCAATAAATCGTCAGATAAATTGATTCTTTTTCATACAATTATCTTTGAAAAATCTTAGAAATATAAACGATTATAACACGATACTTTCTCTGTAGAATTTCTAACAATATAAAAAAAGAGAAAATCTAGTTTAGCCACTTCGTTTAACTAATTAAAACTGACGTGACACACTAGACTGATTATCACTCTTTTTCGTTAGAAACAGGTAGAAGTAGTTTAAACTTTGTAGGTGTAGGTGCATATAGGACAGTAAATATTAAGTTCATCTCTCATTTTTGCATACCCACCCTTCCATTCATTCCAATAAATGCAGCATCATTAATTTGTTGATTTGTAACATATACTCAATTACAAAATTTTTTAATTGATCGAAAAAGTTTAACATTAATATTTGATAGATCTTCAACAATGATTATTGATTATTGTCTTCGTTATACCCTCAGTAAAGTTACAATGGTATCGATGGAATATAAATATGGTCCATGTACGAACTTTAATTATAGCAAAGTGTGGATGTGAACAAGAACAAAAATAATTATGTAATATATCTGCAATTCGAAATTTTAACAATTTTTTTTGTCATGATTGAATAGAGCTCGTCGAGTTATACAAGAAAAAATATTTTTCAAATATAAATGAGAAATTTTACGAGAAAACTTCTAAATATCACTATTTTCAAATGTAAAGGCAAATAAACCTGAAATTCTGGCTACACTTGAAAAACACTTTTTCTTATGTAATTCGATGAGTAATGAAAAAAAACTGCTGTAATATCGGATTGCCGACATATTACATACACTGGAAATGTGTTAAAATTTAAGGTAACTCAGTTCGCACACATCATGAATGAATCATATGTTAAGTTTTTTACTTTGACAATGAGAGTGTCTGTTTGATTCGAATATGGTCAATCTTCTTGCGTGCGAGCACAAGAGATTTCATTGTAAGATACAAAAAAAAATCTATTTTGGAATTAGGTATGTAACGTTAAAGCAGGTAATCTAATCAAAAATCTACAGTAATTATTGATATATTAACACCACTAGCTACTTTTAACCCGAAGCCGTGTGAATTATGGAAAAAAACTAATTATCATCGTTGACTTCTCTCGCGTTCGTCGACATCACCGGTCTGAACGTTCATGGCTAAAAGCACATCTCTACGTAGTCGTTGTAATTTAATTGAAAAGGTACTCAATCAAAGTAAAGAAAAAATTATTATGACTTGAAGTTGGCGTATGAGAGTTGATTCAGTCTACTTGATAGATTATTAAAATATCTTATCATAACAAAAACATCATTATTAGTGTATTAAAATTGAAAATATGACTTTCTTAGAAAACGGAAGTTTTTTTTTCAGGAAATTTTGCCTCAATGGATAATTACGTGTATATTATCTTCTGGAAATTACGCATCAATGTTTGATTTATACGAATAAATATCATAAATATTGTTTAAAGTTAACTTTGTTGTTTTTTGATAATATATTCGTTTCCTTTGCCAGTTAGCGAGCAATTATCGATTTCTACATGTGTGTATGCGATTAATTACAGTTAAAGTAAATAATGACATACAATATAAATACTAATCAATTGTTGGATGAATAGATGAATGACATATTATATCATTGTGTATGTTTTTATAGTTTAGTATACATCCGGACGTTTTAGGGAAAATATTCACCATTGTTCATAAATTTTTTTTTCCTAAAAATATTTATCTTGCATTTCCATGACTACACGATATATTAACAAAAATAGCATATTGTTCTACTTGCTAATAATAGAGAATAGTCTTTTAATTACGTTCATTTATCTTCTATGAAATTCACCACTACAATGAAAAAGTATTGACTAAACTGAAAGTACAACATTCATTTTTTTTATTCACCATATAAGATCAAACAATTCTAAACTAGGTTTTATATGAGTGGCTATACTTCATTTAAACCTAATTATCATTGTGAAAATAATTTTCTATATATACATCTCTAATCCTGGATAGTGATGCCTCATTATCAAATGTTCAAAATAGAATATTTATGTATTAAATTGGATCTAAAAATCCGTTAGATGCATAAACTAATGAACAACTTAGACGACATCTATAAAAAATTATTGAATTAGATTTAGAGTTAATAGAGTTTAGAAAAAATATTGTTCAGTAAAGGTAGTCACAAACATTATTAGAATCATCCAGTCGAAAACTACAAAAATGGTTTTTTTTTCAGATTTATGTGTCCTTGAGTTCAATGATAGAAACAGTTAAATTTGTCAAAAATGAAATCGTACTTAGCAGTTTTTATCATTATAGTTCAACATCAAAGCAAAATGAATCCTATATTTGGAATCAACACAAAGAACTATGTCAGATTACAAATATTTCAATAAAAAGTAGTTTAAAAAAAACAGTGTTTGCTTTCAATAATTTTCCTCTCATATTTCACTGATAATTTCCTTGGATACTTTTTTTTCTTAAAAAAAATATTTTTCCTTGATATGTATGTTTATAATCTACTGTAGTTCTTTGTGTTAATTCTGAATATGGCAATTGTTTTTGCTCTGAAATTGAAATGTAATTACAAAAATTGTTAAGTGCGACTTCATTTTTGACCAATTTATCTATTTCTTCCACCGAATTCAAGAACACATAAATCTGAAAAAAAAATATGCGCTTTTGTAGTTTACGACTGGATGATTTCGATAAAATAAGGCATTTGCTCTTTTCTCTTGTCATAAAAAATATACAAAGATGCGTAGAAAGACATATTTTGAAGCATATTGATATTAGAGCCCGTCAGATTCAAAACTTTCAGACTCGGAACCGATCGAATCCACACCAAGATTCGGAAACAACCCGACAAGCTCTAGTTGGAATCATGTTTACTTGAGAGTATTCTTTTAAAGTCTACTAATATTACATTTTCCTATTCAGTTTTTCATACTGAAATAGAATACAATGTTTGCAAAAATTTTACAGGAAAAAAAATGTAACCGAACTTTGATGATTTCTATTTAATAAAAAAGTGAATACATAATCATAAATATTACTTTCTTCGTCATTCAAATTATGTTCAATCAAATAGTAGTGAATAAAAAATGAAAATTGTATATGCGTGACCAACTTTTTATGTTCCATTCAACCATACATAAATGAACAAAAAAAACCTATTCAAATTTGGCATTCCTTACATTTTATGTCTTCGATATCATTCACAATCATGATGCATAAAATCAACCATATGGAATAAATTGTAACTAAGACAGATGCAAAAGGATGGCCTTGAGGAAGACATTAAAAATATATCTAATTTTTACACTTAATAAATCTGGTTTTGGCAGAATGATACAACACATGAGAAACTTTTAATGGAATAAAACAACTAGAGAAAATTTCTAGTCTTTTGTTTTTTTGATGAATTATTTATAATGAAATTATTTTTATTTGTAAAATATTAAAAAAAGTAAATTATTTTTAATTTTATTGTACTTATTATAAGTATGTTTGATGTGTCTCATTCTTTCATGAAAGTAAGATAGATTTGAGATAATGAATTTGTCATTATTTGACTTGCTGATGTGAATCGAATTGAAACATAAACATCAAAAAAACAACAATGATGATAAGAATAAAACACTTATAGTTCAAATGGATTTAGGTCATTGTCACTATTTACAAGTCATTTGTCTTTTTGGTATATACTTATTATTCTATTGAACAATTCATCATATCGAGAATACAAAGAATACTCTTATTGTCATCGCCGAAGGAGAAATGCCGAGATATGAATCTTTGATGGTTATTATAATAGATAAGTTTGATTGTATGTCAGAATTACTATGGGAAATTTACAAGTAAAAGTAGTGAGTATTTAAATTCCAAAGAAACGATATTATTTTTAAATAAAAGCAGTGATAATGTATAAAAAATGACCTTGAATAATATTTTTTTTCGTATTTTTTGTTTTACACACATATGTAAAACTTAGACTAAATACATTGACTAATTTAAGAATGCTTGAAAACTTTCATGTCAATGTGAACGAGATAATATACTCAATGAATAATTTATACATAAAATATTTATAAGATTATAAAATATATGCTAGAATTTTAATTAATTTTCGGTATAATTTATTTTATTAATAAATTTGAAGAAATCATTGGACATATTTCTTGTTCTACCTTGATAGCGATATATTGTGATCACCTTGATCATGCTTAAATGAATGGAAAAATTTCTTTTATTCGGTTCATTTCATCGACTGTCATGATC